AAAAATTCATACTTTAAGAATTCAAGACGAAAAATTCACATTTCAAAAAATTAAAGACGAAAAATTCACATTTCAAGAATTGAACATGAAAAATTCACATTTCAAGAATTCAAGATGAAAAATTCACATTTCAAAAAATTGAACATGAAAAATTCACATTTCAAAAAATTGAACATAAAAAAATTCACGTTTCAAAAATAGAAGACGAAAAATTCAGGTTTCAAAAATTGAAGACAAAAAATTCACATTTCAAGAATTCAAGACGAAAAATTCACATTTTAAGAATTCAAGATGAAAAATTCACATTTTAAAAATTAAAGACGAAAAATTCACATTTCAAGAATTGAACATGAAAAATTCACATTTCAAGAATTCAAGATGAAAAATTCACATTTCAAAAAATTGAACATGAAAAATTCACATTTCAAAAAATTGAACATAAAAAAATTCACGTTTCAAAAATAGAAGACGAAAAATTCAGGTTTCAAAAATTGAAGACAAAAAATTCACATTTCAAGAATTCAAGACGAAAAATTCACATTTTAAGAATTCAAGATGAAAAATTCACATTTTAAAAATTAAAGACGAAAAATTCACATTTCAAGAATTGAACATGAAAAATTCACATTTCAAGAATTCGAGAGGAAAAGTTCACATTTTAAGACTGAAGACAAAAATTCCATTTCAAGAGTTACACAAGAAAAATTTACATCTTCAAACATTTTGAATTCCAAAACTATCCAATCCAATTCACAACTTCTGTTTGTCGGCCTCTTTTCCATCGAAATAGAAAAGATCACAGGACTCACCTCGTGAAGGTCAACAGAACGAGTCCCTCCAAATAAAAGACTAAAATGAGTCGTTTTCTTTTCTGGTCGCTCCTTCTTAAATCGATCAACTGTCGTTAAACAACTAGTTGCATCAAACAGAGTAGCCAAGTTTTATAAACTATGGCAAAAGCTGTTATCGGAACACATTCACCGGGTTACATTAAATGCCGTGATGCATCTTTCATTAAGGGTGTTGCAGACCTTGCCAGAAGCGCTACCATTTAGTCTACTAAACAAGAGGTCAACGAATTTCATCGCCACTGGCACTTTCCGTCCCCAACAAACTGATTCTCAAGCTGTAATTCCGAACGGCATGGCTATCAATCATGAATGTTGGGCTCTCGTTAAGGCTTTATTGGGCTTTTACTCTTGTTATGACAACTCGTTGGTTTGGATATTATTTGTTGTGAATGGATTGGACTAGGTCCAATTCTTCAGTAAAATAATAAGAGTAGTAAAAGCTGAAAAAAAAATGATTAATAAATGGTTTAAGACAGACGGACACGAACAGACAGATTGATAGAAATTACTTTTTTGATGGACAGTCCCACCCTCATCCCCCTCTAAAGACTTTTCCAATAAGTTATAGTAAACCTGTTTATAGAGGATTAATGCCTCGTTCGCAAAAAAAAGCTTAAAAAACGAACGCGCACATTTAAATTAATTCGTCCATCTTTTTAAACAAATAAACCCTTACCCTACCTCAAGAACCTCACCCTTCCCCCATCCCCCTACCCCGCATACTATAATCCCTTCCCTTGGCGTCACTGGGGCGCCACTCCCAGATAGATTTGTTGAGGCTCTTCTCGCCGTTCCCACCCACCCTTTACCCCCTACTTCAAGAACCCCTACCCCACTTAGTTTGAACCCTCACACCCAACACCCTGCATCAAAAACCTTCCCCGCTACTTTAATCCCTCACACCCTTCACCCTCCATGAAAAACCTACCCCGCTTACTTTAATCCCTGACACCTTACACCCCCTTCCATCCCTGCGAATTTAATTTCTTACCCCCTACCTTAAGAACCCCCCCACCCCGCTAATTTAATACCTTCCCTTGGCGTCACTGGGGCGCCACTCCCAGATAGATTTGTTGAGGCTCTTCTCGCCGTTCCCACCCACCCTTTACCCCCTACTTCAAGAACCCCTACCCCACTTAGTTTGAACCCTCACACCCAACACCCTGCATCAAAAACCTTCCCCGCTACTTTAATCACTCACACCCTTCACCCTCCATGAAAAACCTACCCCGCTTACTTTAATCCCTGACACCTTACACCCCCTTCCATCCCTGCGAATTTAATTTCTTACCCCCTACCTTAAGAACCCCCCACCCCGCTAATTTAATACCTTCCCTTGGCGTCACTGGGGCGCCACTCCCAGATAGATTTGTTGAGGCTCTTCTCGCCGTTCCCACCCACCTTTTACCCTACACCCCCTCCCATCCCTGCGAATTTAATCCCTTACCCCCCTACCTTTTCACTCAACTTTTAAAGGAAACCCTTCCGCTTCGTCGTCCTCAGGAACTCCGCAACAGAACATTCGTTTGAACGTTCTCCATAACCCCTTCTTCTTTTTGGGGTTCTCGTTGACTTCGGCTTGCATGCTCTTGGTTTCTTCAGCAAATGTTGATGTTTCAGATGACTCCGGATACGAATAGATTGATGTAATCGTTGCAGCATCATCGTCCTGAAATAAAAAATTCATTTTATTAAAATAAAGTGCCAAGAATCTAAATTCAAAATTCCAGTCATTTGGATATTCTGATTCCTTATAACACTACATTCATCTGATAAGTGTAAACTTACCAAGTAATGTAAATGTGATGCCACAAATCTATTCATTTCCGATGCCAGCGACTGATGATGGAACATGAAAATGCTGACTTCTCTCTGTAGGTAGATGTTATTGTAATTTTCATGATACAACACGAAAAAATCCTCCAACTCCAATAACATCTCCAAACCAGCATCTTCGAACCACTCCACAAGAAACCAGAAAAAAGCAAACAACTCATCTTGCTTGGCCAAAAAGTTTCTCATGTCTCGCAACACAAGAAACTTAATGAACACAAGATGAAGTTCAGGATGCTGTTTTATGAAATTTCTTCTTGAAAGTCGCAATCGTCCACTATCAACATTATGCATGCGCAAGAATCCTCTTATTCCTCTTTTTATTGATGAATCTTCTTTCGATGCTTGCTTCATGAGATCATGAGGCAAGTTTCCCAAAGAAGGCTTCTCAAACATAAACTGAAATTAAAAATTAAAATCATTTTAGAGTTTTTCTTAAATTAAAAATATCTAATATATAAAAGCCCAATTCACTGATTCACTGACTCTGGAACGGAAGCCATGTGAAGACATTTGTGAAGCCGTGTGAAGACAAAAATTTAAGGAGTGTTGACAAGGTGGTTGTAAGGTGGGTGTGAGTGTCAGGTGTGGGGTGGGGGGTCAGGTAAGAATTGGGGGCAAGGGGGGTGTCAGGGTGTATTTTGTGAAGCCGATGATTCGAGGGGTGCTGACAAGGTGGGTGTCAGTTGTGGGGGGTGATAAAGTGGGTGTCAGGTGGGGATGGAGGCAAGGGGGGTGTCAGTTGGGGGGAGGGGTCCGAATTTGAGGGGGTTTGTGGGAAAAGTTTGCTGTCAGGAATATTTTGTGAAGCCATATAAAATTTTGTGAAGCCATGTGAAGTTTTGTGAAGCCATGCGAAGCTTTGTGAAAAGACATGGTGAGTTTCGGGGGAATTAAAGTTTTAGTGGGATTAAAGGGGTCCGAGTTTGAGGGGGTTTGTGAATACATTTATAAAATTTTTGTGGGATTGAGTCCGAGTTTGAGCAGGTTTGTGAAGTTTTGTGGTAGGATTGACCTTAAAAACATTATGGTTATTTGCGTCTTACAGTTATTTACACAATAGTAATCAAATTTTAACCCTGATAAGAGGCGCCACAGGCGCCTCCGGACAGCCTAGTTATTATATAATTACTCACCTTTAAGAGGTTCCTTTTCTCGCCAATAGCTCTTTCGATCTGCAACAATTCCTCCGACATGGATTGAAAGGTCCTGTACAAAGGAATCATTGTCGGCATGCTGAATGATCGAAGGAGACGTGAATTTTCGGTTCCAGCATTTATCATTGGCATGCTGCACGTTCTCAGGAGCTCGGGAACCGGTTGCTAAAATAAATAAATGGAAAAAAAAATTTTAAAATTTATTCACAATTTAAAATGAATCATCGAAGGATGATAAATATCAGCTGCTTGCTTGCATGATTAGTATTATTTCCATGCAAGAAGCATCATGTCTAGTTGGCACTTCCAACTGGGTGGAACTGACAAAAAAATTTTACTTCATTTCTTGACTTTTCAAACGATTTTAAAGATGAGTCCAGTTCTGAGGAACTAAGCAGTTCCGTAGGTTCCAATGCAGCCAGTACGCATCGTATGACTACTTAGAACCGAAAAATTTCAGTGGATAATGAAAGAAGTGCTTGGTTCCTTAAATCTGGACCCCTCTCAAAAATTGTTAAAGAAGTCAAGAAATGTTGAAAAAACATTTTTGTCAGTTTCATCCAGTTGGAAGTACCAACTTGACATGATGCTTCTTGAATGAAAATCATACAAACCATGCAGCAATTAAAATGAGTCCTTTTGATTTTGTATCATCGAAATCCTATCCTTACTTCTATCTCCACGTTCGCTATTTCGTTGTTGCTTGCTTTATTCTCAAGCTGATGCTCTTCATCCTCTAAAAGCTGAATGAACTGCTGAACAGTTTTGCGAAAATTTGACGTTGACATGTTGAACTAATCTTCACTTTTAATGTTTACACAATACTGAAGAAATTTCAGAATTGGTCAAATTTCAATGGTTGCTGGGATTATTCTTTTGTATACTGAATTTTTATCATTTTGTATGAAAATTAAAATGATATTTTGTGACATTAAAACTATCGGGAAATCGCTGAATCTGGTGCAGGAACATATCCAGTGTTACAAAATAAGTGATCGGTTCCGTTGAGTTTGAAACAAAGATAAAAAAATGTTTATCAAATAATAATTTCCTTCAAATTTAAGTTATTATTGAGCAATAAGTGATAGTGAAAATGTGGAAGAAGGCACGTTCACTACGTCTATTTACTAAATGACTGTTTTATACTCTCATGGATTTCACTATTAATTCTTCAAAGAAAAAACTTTATTTAAATAAATTTGATGTCTAAAATGCAATTTAGAAAATCAATTAAGTACAAAATGGTCAAGAAATACAAAAAGTTTTAGCTGTAAAGTTTCATTAAAAATGTTTGATAAAAAACAACAAACTAAAGGCACATATTTAGGCATTCACTCGTTTTCTTCTTCTAAATCTTCATTTTGAGGCTGTTGAAAGACATCTGGCATCATATCATTTGCATCATCTTTCTTTTCTTGAATTAATTTCATATCTTCTGCTGTCTTTAGGCATAATTTGGCTTCTTCAATTGCCTTTGATCTTTTCTCGTCGTTAAGCTGAGTGACACCCATTAAAAGCTGCAAAACATCAGTATCGAATATTTTCTCAGCAACTGTTTTACTCTGTCGAATCATGTTGTGAATTATGACAATTCCTCTAAACTGTACATCAGGGCTTGGATTCGCTATTAACGTATGCAAAATTTCAAGCCATGACGATGGAGTTATCATTTTCTCACAACATTTTGCACTATTAGATGTCAGAATTGCTAATGCACCACTACATGCTAAAGCTGTTTCTTCATCTTCCTCCTCACACAACAGTGCTAAGAATTTTACGCGATCATTGTCTCCTTCATGCCATTTTATATAATCCTCATTCAAAACCATGTTGCAAATTACTTGTGTGGCAGCTCTAGTCAACAAAATGTGATCTTCCATTAAGAACATTTCAATACGTGACATTCCTTTCTCTTTCATTATGCGATTGCGAACTGAATCATTCATTTGAGCTAAATTACAAAGTGCCAAAAGTGCTTCAAAATTCTCGAGTGCACTATAGTCTGGATGAAGTTGATTAAGTAATGGTCTAACAACTTCTAATGATCGTTGTCCAGGAAATGCTTGTTCGGGATTGATAGTGATACCTAAACGTGACAAAGCCTGACCAGCATTTCGTTTGCCCTTTTCAGTACCTAAAGTAATTGAAAAAAAAAACAGAATTTAAAATAAATCAATAAAAATGCAGTAATAAAGTTTGAAATTCTTACCTTTTAATGCAAGCTGAATTAAGACACGAGCACCACCTTGTTGGAGCAAATTGCATTAAAAACTCTCGCAATCATTTCTTTGGCATTGTCACTCTCAGTTTTTGATAGAGCAACTAAGGCGACAGTAATACCTTCTTCTGCCAATGTATTAATACGTTTGGCTACAAAATCTGGATCATCGAGTTCTGATTCTTCTGGAACATGATGTTTTGCGAATTTAGCAAGTTCCATAAGTTCAGGAAGCATTTCCTGCTTTTCATAAGCATTGACAAGATTTACAAGTGTAGTAACAACACCATAAATGACAGATTGATCTCCAGTTTTAGCTAGTTCAATGAGTGCTTGAATAGCCAATTTATCATCAATTAATTTCTCTTTAACATCAGAATGACAATCCTTCAGCTGCAAATTTACGAATATCCTTATCTTTACCAGGTTTAATGAGAAAACGACGACATGCTTCAGCTAGTTTAACAGTTGATCCATCAGCAAATGGACGAATAGATGCATCAAGGCCACCAGAGCTACCTAATTTACATAATCCAACTAGTGCTTTTACTCGAATTCCTTCATCTTTTGAATGATATAATTTCTTTTAAATTTCCACCCCACTTGCTATTAATGCTTTAGCCTTATCCTTCTTTGATGCTGCAGCAATAAGACATTCAGAAGCTACTTTTTGATGTAACAATTCATCATCACTTGCCATTGCTAAAATCATTTGCATGATTCCATCACGTGCGAAAATTGTATTACCAACATCTAATGGACCAAGAAGAAATGATGTTAAAGCGACTACAACACGAACTTTTGATTCAAATTCTGGATTTAAAAGCTTATCCCTTATATATTCATCAATGTGAGCAATGAATCGTTGTCGAGCTTCATCATAGTACATGTTTTCATAAATTCTTGCTAAACAAACGGAAGCGATGGTTCTAGACGATGGTGTTATTGGCATTGCACTCTCATATTTATATTCCTCTAATTCACTACAAATTTCCATCAAACGATAAAGACCCTTTTGCTCGATAAGACGTTCAGCCCAATTAAGTGTTTGATGATGAGCATTTCTGATCAATAATTCTACAACAGCATCACGAGCTTCGCCAGTAATTGTACGATCTGTTGTTGCATAAACCAAGCATGTAAGAATTGTATCAATTTCATTCTTATTATCTTCAACTAATTGTTGATCTGGCTTTGAATCCTCTTTATTAGTTAAGCCAGAGAATGAATTAAGAATGACTTGTAAGCAATGCTGAGCTCACATGACACGATCAGCATTTTTACTATCGAGAATTTGTAGGAATCAAGGGATACCAAATTCATTAATGATCTTCTTTGTGTAATGTAATGACTTGATACAGATATCATCAATTACACGTATAGCATTAACAAGTATTTCATCATTTTTTTCGACTTTGAATAATTTACCGACACGAGTAGCTATATTCTCACGGAACATTACATCGGCTCCTGCCTTTTCTCTAGCTAACACTACAAGATTACTCATTGCAGTCTCTCTTTTGCTTCTCTCGGCACCAATATCAAATGCTAATTCCATCATTTTTGATACCTTTGTGGATGTTTGAGCATTTATAGCTGCAGGATCCTGAGATAAGGCTGAATTGGTTTAAAGTTTGGATCATTCTTGCAAATTGTTCGATTTTCAGCCACAAAAGATATTAAGCATGCAAAAGTCTTTTAAATAATTAAAATTGTGCTTTTAATGTTTCTTTATGAGAATCAATTTTTTTTGGTAAAATATATATTTATTATAAATTTGACAATTTTTCAATCTCATCATTAATGTTCGTGCTTCTGTCATAGCTCAAAACTTCAGTGTAGATAGAGAAAAATCCTTCAAGCTTTTGCGAGTTTTCCGTTTGGTTTTCTTTAACAAAGGAGCAAATCTTTTGTGAAACCTGTTGAATAGAAAACTCATTTTATAAAAGCTAGTTATGTATGAATTAGTATAGGGGCCGTTCAATTATGACGTCCGAAATTAACGGTCATTTTTCAAAAAAGATCAATGGATTTCCAGGAATTTCTATTGTTCTTTTCTTGCTCTAAATTCAAAATATTTTCATAACGAAACATGAAATTAAACCAATTGATTTAAAATCCAATGATGAAGAAGTTTGGCAAATAAGTTCATGTTCGCAAATAATCCATATTCCAAAAATTGAAACACGAAAAATCGTATTCCAATTGAAAAATTCACGTTTCAAAAATAGAAGACGAAAAATTCAGGTTTCAAAAAATTTAACATAAAAAATTCACATTTTAAAAATTAAAGACGAAAAATTCACATTTCAAGAATTAAACATGAAAAATTTACATTTCAAGAATTCAAGATGAAAAATTCAAATTTCAAAAAATTGAACATGAACTAGTGTATCGGGTAGAAACCCAATGCGGATTATATTCACACCGTACTATCATAAGTCTTATGGATAGACCAAGATTTGCCCATCATAAGTATGAAGGTATGAAGCTTGATAAGTCAACTAAGCTTCGCTCAGCATAAGTTTAAAGCTATAAAGCTATCGCGTAAGCTGAGCTACGCTCAGCATAAGTTTGAAGTTATAAAGCTATCGCGTAAGCTGAGCTACGCTCAGCATAAGTTTGAAGATATGAAGCTAGAGAGGCAGCTGAGCTTCGCTCAGCATACGTTTGAAGTTATAAAGCTATCGCGTAAGCTGAGCTACGCTCAGCATAAGTTTCAAGATATAAAGCTAAAGTGTCAGCTGAGCTACGCTCAGCATAAGTTTGAAGATATGAAGCTAGAGAGGCAGTGGAGCTTCGCTCAGCATAAGTTGAAGTTATAAAGCTATCGCGTAAGCTGAGCTACGCTCAGCATAAGTTTGAAGATATAAAGCTATCGAGTCAGCTGAGCTACGCTCAACATAAGTTTGAAGGTATAAAGCTTGACGAATATGCCAAATATTCTTTAAAAGTTTTTTAAAAAAAATTTTCATCCAAAGTTAAATTTTATAAAAATCACAGTCAACTTTTGTTTTAAAAAATTCGTAAGAAAGGAAAGTTTTTTGCCATTTCTGAAGCAACGGCTGTTCCTACCTTGCCCAAAAACAATACAGCTCTTCTATAGAGCAGCACGGATCAAATGTAAAAAACTAGAAGTCTCTACGATGTCTCGTTATTGAGATTTCTTGCTGATTAACTTGCTTGCTTGCTTGCTTGTTTGCTTACAGAAAGCGTATTTTGCGATTTTCTCAGCAATGCCACAACCAATTTGAAATCTGTTTTTTGAAAATGATGTAAAATTTCAGGCACAAACTTTTCTTCTTGCCCTTTTATAACCAATTTTGCTTTGTTTTCTCACAAAATGCGAAAAACTGATTTTTCAATCTGAACAAAACCAATAGATTCGCACGTGAAAACGGTGTGAATATAAAAATTCACATTTTAAAAATTAAAGACGAAAAATTCACATTTCAAGACTTAAACATGAAAAATTTACATTTCAAGAATTCAAGGTGAAAAATTCAAATTTCAAAAAATTGAACATGAAAAATTCACATTTTAAGAATTCAAGATGAAAAATTCACATTTCAAAAATTTGAACATAAAAAATTCACGTTTCAAAAATAGAAGACGAAAAATTCAGGTTTCAAAAATTGAAGACAAAAAATTCACATTTCAAGAATTCAAGACAAAAAATTCACATTTCAAGAATTGAACATGAAAAATTCAAGACGAAAAATTCACATTTCAAGAATTAAACATGAAAAAATTTACATTTCAAGAATTCAAGATGAAAAATTCAAATTTCAAAAAATTGAACATGAAAAATTGACATTTCAAGAATTCAAGATGAAAAATTCACATTTCAAAAATTGAACATAAAAAATTCACGTTTCAAAAATAGAAGACGAAAAATTCACGTTTCAAAAATAGAAGACGAAAAATTCACATTTTAAAAATTAAAGACGAAAAATTCACATTTCAAGAATTAAACATGAAAAATTTACATTTCAAGAATTCAAGATGAAAAATTCAAATTTCAAAAAATTGAACATGAAAAATTCACATTTTAAAAATTAAAGACGAAAAATTCACATTTCAAGAATTAAACATGAAAAATTTACATTTCAAGAATTCAAGATGAAAAACTCAAATTTCAAAAAATTGAACATGAAAAATTCACATTTTAAGAATTCAAGATGAAAAATTCACATTTCAAAAAATTGAACATGAAAAATTCACATTTCAAAAAATTGAACATAAAAAATTCACGTTTCAAAAATAGAAGACGAAAAATTCAGGTTTCAAAAATTGAAGACAAAAAATTCACATTTCAAGAATTCAAGACAAAAAATTCACATTACAAGAATTGAACATGAAAAATTCAAGACGAAAAATTCACATTTCAAAAAATTGAACATGTAAAATTCACATTTTAAAAATTAAAGACGAAAAATTCACATTTCAAGAATTAAACATGAAAAATTTACATTTCAAGAATTCAAGGTGAAAAATTCAAATTTCAAAAAATTGAACATGAAAAATTCACATTTTAAGAATTCAAGATGAAAAATTCACATTTCAAAAATTTGAACATAAAAAATTCACGTTTCAAAAATAGAAGACGAAAAATTCAGGTTTCAAAAATTGAAGACAAAAAATTCACATTTCAAGAATTCAAGACAAAAAATTCACATTTCAAGAATTGAACATGAAAAATTCAAGACGAAAAATTCACATTTCAAGAATTAAACATGAAAAAATTTACATTTCAAGAATTCAAGATGAAAAGTTCAAATTTCAAAAAATTGAACATGAAAAATTCACATTTTAAGAATTCAAGATGAAAAATTCACATTTCAAAAATTGAACATAAAAAATTCACGTTTCAAAAATAGAAGACGAAAAATTCACGTTTCAAAAATAGAGACGAAAAATTCACATTTTAAAAACTTGAACATGAAAAATTCACATTTCAAGAATTCAAGATGAAAAATTCACATTTTAAGAATTCAAGATGAAAAATTCACATTTCAAAAAATTGTACATGAAAAATTCACATTTCAAAAATTGAACATAAAAAATTCACGTTTCAAAAATAGAAGACGAAAAATTCACGTTTCAAAAATAGAAGACGAAAAATTCACATTTTAAAAATTAAAGACGAAAAATTCACATTTCAAGAATTAAACATGAAAAATTTACATTTCAAGAATTCAAGATGAAAAATTCAAATTTCAAAAAATTGAACATGAAAAATTCACATTTTAAAAATTAAAGACGAAAAATTCACATTTCAAGAATTAAACATGAAAAATTTACATTTCAAGAATTCAAGATGAAAAACTCAAATTTCAAAAAATTGAACATGAAAAATTCACATTTTAAGAATTCAAGATGAAAAATTCATACTTTAAGAATTCAAGACGAAAAATTCACATTTCAAAAAATTAAAGACGAAAAATTCACATTTCAAGAATTGAACATGAAAAATTCACATTTCAAGAATTCAAGATGAAAAATTCACATTTCAAAAAATTGAACATAAAAAATTGACATTTCAAGAATTCAAGATGAAAAATTCATACTTTAAGAATTCAAGACGAAAAATTCACATTTCAAAAAATTAAAGACGAAAAATTCACATTTCAAGAATTGAACATGAAAAATTCACATTTCAAGAATTCAAGATGAAAAATTCACATTTCAAAAAATTGAACATGAAAAATTCACATTTCAAAAAATTGAACATAAAAAAATTCACGTTTCAAAAATAGAAGACGAAAAATTCAGGTTTCAAAAATTGAAGACAAAAAATTCACATTTCAAGAATTCAAGACGAAAAATTCACATTTTAAGAATTCAAGATGAAAAATTCACATTTTAAAAATTAAAGACGAAAAATTCACATTTCAAGAATTGAACATGAAAAATTCACATTTCAAGAATTCGAGAGGAAAAGTTCACATTTTAAGACTGAAGACAAAAATTCCATTTCAAGAGTTACACAAGAAAAATTTACATCTTCAAACATTTTGAATTCCAAAACTATCCAATCCAATTCACAACTTCTGTTTGTCGGCCTCTTTTCCATCGAAATAGAAAAGATCACAGGACTCACCTCGTGAAGGTCAACAGAACGAGTCCCTCCAAATAAAAGACTAAAATGAGTCGTTTTCTTTTCTGGTCGCTCCTTCTTAAATCGATCAACTGTCGTTAAACAACTAGTTGCATCAAACAGAGTAGCCAAGTTTTATAAACTATGGCAAAAGCTGTTATCGGAACACATTCACCGGGTTACATTAAATGCCGTGATGCATCTTTCATTAAGGGTGTTGCAGACCTTGCCAGAAGCGCTACCATTTAGTCTACTCAACAAGAGGTCAACGAATTTCATCGCCACTGGCACTTTCCGTCCCCAACAAACTGATTCTCAAGCTGTAATTCCGAACGGCATGGCTATCAATCATGAATGTTGGGCTCTCGTTAAGGCTTTATTGGGCTTTTACTCTTGTTATGACAACTCGTTGGTTTGGATATTATTTGTTGTGAATGGATTGGACTAGGTCCAATTCTTCA